ACCGGCTTAGAGTCCAACTCCACATAATGAATGACTATATTATGTCTCCTATATAATTCTAGACCTTCAAATAAAGCACTAACCTCTCCTTTATTATTTGCACCCTCCACATAGTGAGAGGAAAATGCAATAACAAACTTCCCATTTCCATCCCTCACCACTCCTCCCCTAGTACATATTCCTTCTCTTTCAAATCCATCACAATTTAACTTGAGCTTTTGCAGTGTTGGAGGCCATGCAATCCATTTCCCTTGGGGCACCTTTGAAGGTAGAAGAGGAATCTATAAAGCTTGAATGCAAAGGGTCTCATGAAAGCCGAGTTTGTCCTTAGGAATGAACAAAGGTTGGCTATCGCCTAGCCATCTCTTGATCTTAAAGATTATCACCGCAGACAACCATTTTTCCCCATCAAGAAAGGCTTTATTCCGTGCCTTCCATATTTCCCAAAGCGTGCAATAGAGAGTCACCATTCTCCAAAAAAATTTCTAATTGGTGGGAGCTCCACAAAGTGTAGCCATTTTCGAACTAAAACACCCACCGAGCTTTCTATTGTGGGAACATTACGGAGCGGGCTGAAGTGTCTCCAGATTGTTGCAGCCTATCTCCCCTCGAAGGAAGAGATGATTCGATTGATTGTTTTGTAAACAATTATACATAGATCTAATGCATACACTTGAAAAAAAAAATCTTCTCACTAATATTAAATAAGAATAAATTTTTATTTTTTCATTAACTAATTTTTATGCAAGTCTATATGTTAATTGTAACTTTATTTTTTTAATACCGTAACCCCCATAAAAACCCTTATCCGTAACGCGACGTGTATTAGAATAATTCTATATATATGTATATTAAAAGTAAGTATAATTCTCATTTCATCATGAGAAATTAATTCTTGAAATATGTGATTTATGTTAAATTAAATTTATTGTGCTTAAGATTAATGGTTTAATTATTAAAGAAATCAAATATGCAAAATCGGTGTTTTAAGGAATGTATTCTGCCCGAGTTTTGTGTTAATTATTTGAGGCCTTTAGGGTAATTTTTGGGTCAACCTTAAACAATGAAAGTTGTTCATCTATGTGTTTAATAGGCCTGTATAAAAGTTTATAATATTTGGACCTATACATTAAGAGTTATACCAATTATAGTGAGGGTTGTTTCGAAATGCATTCTGCTGAAATTTTGGGAGAAGAATCCGCCTGAATCCCGTGAGATTTATTTGATGTCTGTTAGATTAATTTTTGAGCAAAAATTAAAGAATAAAAGTTGTTTTTCTATTTTTTTACTAGCTCTCTATAAAATTGCATAATTTGTGGATACATATAGAAAGCGTTATGCACATTTTAGTATAGATGGGTTAGGAGGTAACACTCGCTGAAATTTTGGGGAAAAAGAAATTTCGAATTTTAAAAATGGAAATTTTCAAATTTTTTATAAAAGAAATTATGTCTAATTACATGAACCCAGCTTATTAATGTGTTTATTTAGCCTAAGTTTTCTTTAGCCACCTAAGCACTTGAATTAAATGTTTGGAAGCTAAATCATCACCTTTGACTTCCAAAACATGCCAGCTTTGCCTTCCAAGCTTCCTCCACTTTACATTTGGCCTAGTTAAATTTTAACACTTATGATATAAATAAATGAGAGGATAAAAGGTGGGTATATAAGGGAAAGAGAGGGTTAAATGGCTGCCATTTTTAAGCCAAAAAACGTAGCCATCCACAATTAAAAGAGAAGCCAAATTGAAGAGAGAAAAACAACAAAAAGAGAGAAAGAAAGAAAAGAGAAAGAGAAAGGGAAAATCGAAAAAAAAAAAGAGCTAAGGAAATTCTAATCAAACCTAAAAGAGGTAAGTAGGATTCATTTTTTTGGCTGATTAATGTCTTAAATTATTTTTTTAAAGTTATTTTGTTAGTGTTTATTTCATGGGTTGTAATAATTTTCAATGGTTATATGTTTGATGCTTGGGATAAATCTATGTATGGATGCCTTGTTGTGATGATTTATGATGTTATGATGTTTTGAAAAATGTCCAAGTATGTGGTGATGGGTTGGATTGAACTTGGACTAAATTTAAGTGAACTAAAACATGTTTAAAGTTGGCTTGGAATGAACTAATAAATTAGTGTTGATAAGGAGTAAATTCTGTCCGAATTTTGGGGTGTATGTTCAAGGATTTTAGATCGATTTCTAGGTGAAACTTAAAGCATAAAAATTTTTCATCTATGTTTCAAATAACTTCCTTTAAATTTTCTTGCTCATTGGATTCGTGTACAAAGAGTTATACCCGATTTAGTATAGATAGCTCTAGACAAACTACTATTAGGCAGATTTGTCCCTAAGTTTCAAAATTTTGTAATTAATTATGTACTTGGTATTTAGACCTAATTTTTGGATATGTTATAAATAAATATGTCTAGTATCTAAAATAAAATGAGTAAGATTTAATTATGTTCTGAAATTAGAAAATGATTTACTCGATTAGGAGTTGCTCGGTAATAAACCCTAAAACCAAAAAAAATTAGACTTGGACAAAATTAATAGGTTTGGAATAAACTAAATGAGCTTGGAATAAATAAAATGGAATTAAATAGAGTCAATGGACCTAGGATAAAGTTAATGGGCTCGGATTAAAGTAAATAGACTTGGACCTTCTTTTAAATATTAATGAAACTAATGAACAATATTAATGAGCGGAGATTGTGTTCTCGCCGTGGGTATCATGATTGGTATGTGAGCAATGGATAAATTCCGAATATGGGTTGGACCGTGAGTATGGTATGAGAATGAAGGGTTGGTACCCGAATTTGGTTGAATGTGATTAAATATGTCATCACGTGCATCATGTGCATAGTGGGTGGTTTAAAACAAGTCAATTGATTGAGAAATGGTTTATACATCTAGGTTTGATAACCTAACTCGGAATAAATGGGTATTAGCAGTCTAGTACTTTAGGCCGTGTGCCCGCACTATTAGATGATAAATTTTCGCTAATAGTAGTTACAACGAGGGATAATTCGTTGTAGAAGAAGATGATCCGAGGATCATCTGGATGAAATCAAGTCAGTGTGCTTGCACTCGTTAGACGATGGATTTTCGCTAACGTAGTTACAACGAGGATAATTTCGTTGTAGCGAGAAGGTGATCTCCGGACCACCCGGATGATAAATAGAATAGATCGGCTAATACCCGTGGTACCCGAGATTAAAATTTATGAGTATGGTGGAAAGTCAAAACAACATTACATATCACGTGCATCACCCCGCTTACCGAGCTTCATCTCACCCCGTTGTTATTTTTTTATGTCTTGACAAAAAAAGGACAAGTTGGTACGGATGCGGTCGGCTCCTCTTAACCGGCTCATGTGAGGCACCATATATTAGTTTTTATTTTGTCTCGTAAATTTAGGGTATGGAGTTCATGAGAAATTAAATATTGCCTCTAATGTTTTATTAATGTATTTAATTATGTTATGTAAATTTTATCTTAAGGAGTTATATACGTAATGTATTGTTAAAGTTCTAAGAATATCATAAGAAAACTACTTAGAGTTTAGGGTATGTCGGCGTAATACGCTTCGTCCAATACCCTACTTGGGTAGTAGAAATATGACTCAGGGCGGCGGCGTTACAAATACATTCTTATAAACAAATATATTTTTAAAGTATTTTCTTTTGAATTCTTCATTAATATTTTAGATTTAAATTATTACACATTTTTATTTAAGAATTCGTAAATAAAGAAGAATAAATCATGTTTGTTAAGCAAAAATCTATGAAGAACACAAAAAAAAATAATAATAATAATTATAATAATTAAATAAAAAATCATAAAAAATTATAATTTTTTAAATGATTTTGTTCTATCTATCCGTAGCATTATATGAATAATTTTAAAAATTAATCTTCTTAGTAGTATTAAATAAGATTTTGTTTTTTCATTTATTCATTTTTGTAAAAGTCTCGTCGATTAATTATAATTTTATTTTTCGGAATACAATACTATGAAAAATATAGTTTTATATATATACTTTTTAATTTTTGATTAATGTTTTAGTTAAAATTATTTTTATTTTTTTTACTCTAAGTTCAATTCATAAAAAAAAATGATTTATATTTTTTTAAGAAAAAATTTATAAAAAAATTAAAAAATTAATTAAATAGAAAATTATAGTTAAAAAATTTTAAAATTTAAAATGATTTTTTTTTTCCTACGAGCATCCACAAGCATAGCGTGGGTAATTGGCTAGTTTATACTCTATTTCAACAAGATCTCAAAAAATATTTTGCCTTAATTTTGGTACCAAAAATTTTAGCGTAAATTTGGGTGGAAAATTTAGAAAGGTTTAATGATCTCTAGATGTTTTTTAAAAAAATTTAAACTTAAATTTGGTAGGGATGAAAATTTTAATTTATCACATTAATTTTGGACCTTAACTTTAAAAAAGAGGAAATTTTTAATTTACTACATTAATTTTTGGCTTAAAATCTTGTAGTGACTGCCAAAATTTTGAGAATATTTTATAATGCATGATTAAATGAGATAGGTTTTTTTCTTTAAATGAAAAAAAAATATTTTAGAGAAGTATGGTGAAAAAATATTGTTATGATATTATAATTATTAAGTTTTTTAAAATATATAAAAGTAAAAAAGGACTGTCGCTTGGGGAAAATTTTTTTTGTTTTAATTGTATCTTTGAATTTTCAACTCTTGACGTTTTCCTTTTTTTTTTTTTTTTTTTTTTTTTTGAAATTGGTGAAATCTTTTTCTATATACAATTCCAAAGAGAGCAAATGGTACGTTTAGGGCAGGGGCAATTTATAAATTAGTCTATCTAGTTTTGCTAAACAAATTAAATATTTTTTTTATTTTAAAAATTAATTAATTAGTCTACTTATCAGTGTTGATAATAATTAATTGTCTTGACATGGTGGGCTCAGACTCCACTTATTCCATCATTTTGTTTCTTGAATTCGTACAAGAGAAGTAGGAAGAGATCAATTTTCTTCTCCGCCTCCATTTTGAATCTTCATGACATCAATATATGATTTTCCAGCGAGTTCACGTGAAAAATATCCGTTCAAGAATTCCGCAACCCTTATTCTCCTATATTGCGCTGGAGTCTCTGGAGTAACAAGGCTTGGTGCAGGACCCATTTCACTGTCTAGATTGGGGCTGTAAAAGGTGGCCAGAGAAAGGCGCTCTTTCATCGAGTTAACAGTTGCTCGGTGCTCAGTGCTGCGGTAAATCCCGTTAGTCACAATCTGAAAAAGACAGGAACTTAAGTTATTTTTAGCAAAAATCTGCAGAGCCAGCTTTTTCAATGTTCGAAGGAAATGATAGGGGATTAGCTAAGCATAAATTATTACCTCCGACATGTCTCCAATGTTGACCACAAACGAATCTGGTAGTGGTTTAACCGGAATCCACTTCCCCGATTTCCTTATCTGTAACCCTTCCACCTCACTCATTTGGAGGAGGATGGTGAGGCCAGTGGCATCAGTGTGAGAGTTAAGGCCAATGACAAGCTCTGGTTGTGGGCATGGTGGATAATAGTTCATCCTCATCATCTGACACCCATCTTCGAACAAGTCTTTTATATCATCAGGTTTCATTCCTAGAGCTTTAGCCATGAGATAGAGAATCTTTAAGGCAAGAATTTTCAGTTCTGCTGAGTATGCTTCCAAAGTATCTCTGCATGCAAACAAAAGAGGATAATTCATAGTAATAGTTTTCTTCTTCTAAGACCACATTGCCTTTTTTATGTCAAAATTGAGAAATTATTACACGGACCACTTAAAGATTATAGAACAAACCCTACTAAATTTATCCACACCATCAATTGTTTGATTCTATCAATATGAATGTGCTATTGAATATGAAGAGATGCACATTTTAAAGTGAAAAATTTAATGATATGTAATAATTTCATTGAATTGATTCATAATCTTAGGCAAAAATTGATTTATGTGATTTGCATAAAAAAAAAAAAAGAAAAAAAATCATCTTTATTTAAGAAACAAAAACCACACGAAAAACATTAATTCAGGGCATCTTTTAGCGGAAAAGTAATTTAAAATTTCTCTAGACTATAAATGGGTTTCTCCTAGCCAGGTTGGAGGTATTTCCTCCCTTATGTGCCGTGAAATTATTGTGTCCAAAAAGGAAGGCCAAACGTATATTTAACAGTGGAAAGTACAAATACTAAATAATTGAATATGTCTATTTTGATAATCATAATACAGTAAAGGTCACGTTACAAAACTAAATTGTCGTATTGTTTTGAAAATCTACGATTGTATCTTACCATTATCCTTTTTCGATCTGTAAATGATCTCCAATTCAAACATCTTTTATGTATATATAAGAAATACTTGGACCAACTCAAGTGAAAAATCAGCATAGCATGGCAAAAATATATAATTTATGGCACTGAACAATTTATTTGATAACAGGGCGTCGACAATTGAGGGATTGCAATAATCACAACATCAAAATCACAATTTGTGTGATAGCTAGCAAAGTAAAATAACCCTAAGTTTTCCATCATCGCATATCCTTTTGATTTAATGGATTTTTCGTTTATTGACAAGGATTTGTGAAAATGAGAGAGAGAGAGAGAGAGAGAGAGAGAGAGAGAGAGAGAGAGAGAGAGAGAGAGTACCTGAGTGGTTGAGGAAGCTTGGGGAATAAATGAGGTTTCCTCTCATGAGTTGGAAGAGTGACCATGTAGAATATGTCTCCCCAATCAAGCTTCTGCTCCTCAGACACAACAAAAGCTTGTCCAAATCCCTCCATTTCTCCTGCTGTTTGCCAGTACTTCCTTTTCTCTTCCGTTGGGAGGTCGAAAAACTCTGGAATCTCCCCCTTCACTTTGTTAACCAATGAATCATTCACTCCATGATTTATCAACTGAAACACATGCAATTCGATCCATATTTTTGGTTAATCAAGGAGTATTTATTTATTTATATAAAACAATATATACCTTAATGGTTTTGGATTGTAGTTAAGAAATTAAAGACAGAAAAAAATATAAATAAAATGACCTGGAAGAAACCCCATTCTTTGCACGCATGGTCCAACTTATCCAGCTCTAGATCCATGAATTGTTCAGAAATCAATCTTTGCATGTCAATAACTGGAATCTGGGGTGAAGAAGCTGCAGCAATGTCGCTTATGATCGGAGGGTCACGCGAATATCTTGTTGGGACTGTGGTTAGTGACTCCTTTGCCAGCTCCTGAACACAGGGAACTGGGAGAGACGTCCCAAGCGTTGCTGCTTCCATAGCTTCTCTCTTGTTTTTTCCTTCTTTTCGCTTGTTGCCTCGCGAGGAATGAAGTGATGTATGTATAAACGAGTAAATTATAAATTATTCTTTTTTATTTTGAGAAACAAATTAATTAATTCTTTTAGTTTTAAAACCCCAATCATTTAATTATTTTTATTATCTTTTAATTTATTTTGCTTTTTTTAAGAAATAGAAAAAAACTATAAAAAAATTAAAAAGAAGAGAATACGTTTTATAAAATAAAAAATATTAATATAATCATATTAAAAAAATTAAATAATTATCTTAAAACTAAAAAGATTAATTAATTAGTTTCTCGAAAAACAGAGAGACTATTTTATAATTTAGTCACGTATAAAGAGAAGCATAAGTTGACGAAGCTCATTTTATTGATTAAGCCAACTCATGTGTGATGCAATTTGTTAATTAATTATTTGTAATAACTATCCACAGCTGGCAATTTCGAAGGAATTAAGCAGAAAGTTATATACCCAAGTGGTTGCGTCATTGTTGGCACATGGCTAGCTAGATAGCTATACATTATTCCATGTGTTTCAAAAAAATTGTTTTCTTTCTTTTAAAAAAATTTATACATGTACCAACATACTTCTCACGTCAAAACTTTTAATATATATATATCTTTAATTGATAACTAAAATCAATTATTTCTTATATTTACTGTTTTTAACTAACAAAAAATCAGCATTCTTTATATTTTTTTATACATATAAATACTTTTAACATAAAAATTTTAAAGAATTTTCTTTTATTATATATAAAAAATATTCATTCTTCTATAAAATACATGCCATCTTGAAAAACATCATATCTCATTTAAGAGAAATTGAAAATACGCTTTAATTTTGTTTGCTCAAATAAAAATTTTTGTGTTTATTCCTCTCAAAATTCTTCATCACCTCAACCATACATGATTGTAATATTAGAAACACCTTGTTAAGTTCATCTTATGGAAATTCATAAAAAGCTTTTTTTCCATTTCTGATACTAATTCATCAATTGTGAAAGGGACTTGTTGATGCTGAATTGATTGAATTGCTATCAAGAAACCAAGATTATGTACATTAAGAAAAAAAAACTAAAAGATTTGGAATTATTATTGTTTTAGGGCTATTCATTTCCTTTTGTTTTAGACACATAATGCCTATTCATTGTGACTCAAATGCATGGTTTGAGTCATCTTCTTCGATCTCAGCCATCCATCAGATATGTGCTTTTCTTGCAGTCGTCCAATTACCAATTTGATGCTTTTTAATCTTTTCTTTTCTCTTAAAATGGGGTTGTTAGCTTAGTTTCTGTCCTTTAACTTTTACTTAATTCCTCTTTTGCCACTACAAAAGAAATTAAAAACTTTTTTGTTTCACTCTTGATTTTGGTCATTGTCACTTAGTATATTTATAAAAATTGATACTTGTCCTTGATTGATTCTCCTTTTAATTTTTTTCTTTAATCTTTTTTTGTCCTTTACTTTTCTTTTTATATAAAAAATTTGATGCTCTGTCTTCCATTGCCTTTTCCCTCATTTTTATAAGGAGTAGCTTGGTGTTCAAGAGTAAATTATAAATTAGTCACTCTCTTTTTGAGAACGAATTAATTAGTTCATCTTGTTCAAAAAATAATTTGTTTTGTCTTTTTTTGTTATTTTTCAATTAATTTTTTATTTTAGGAAATAAAAAATAATTAAAAAATAAGTGAAAATATAAAAATATTGACGAGAATAAAAAATATTTTATATAAAAAAATTAGTTGTGGTCAAATATGGTGGAAATGATTAAGTAATTAATTTTTAAACTAAAAGGACTAATTAATTCATATTTCACAATGAGATGGACTAACTTATAATTTACTTTGTAATTTAAGGATTCCTTTCATCATTCTTTGTAAGGTATTTTTTCTTTTTAATAAATATAGTGCTATACATCATTACGCTAAAAATTCTAATAAATGACTAATGAAAACTTGATGTGCTATTTCAAGGTTATGTTGACATGGATATTTCTTGAAAGTAGCAACCATGATAAATTCACAAATTATACAATACCTAAAAGAAAAGGCAACCATGTATTTATTTACTTATTTGCTTTTTTTCCAATAATTTAATTATTTTTTAATTATGGATTTTGAGGTAACATTTTTGGAAGATTGAACGTTATTTTTCATGTTTCCTATGCAGCTTCACGATGACGAAATAGATATGATTTTCAAACGAGATTAACGTAATTGCATATCTATAAAGCTAAAAGTGTCTTTTTGATAATCCGACTCAATTGTTTTTTTTAATATTTACATAATCAATTAAGAAAATAGAATTCAAGGGTTTTATTTGTATATATATATATATATAGTCAAAATTTATTAGAATCAATTTTGTAGTAATGTTTATTTCAATCTATTAACTTCAATATATTCCATACAATGTATGTGATTTTTTTAATATTTTTTTATTTATGCTCTATATTATGAATCTGTTAAATATGATTGTCATGTGTGTGTGTGTGTGTTTATATATATATATATATATATATATATATCTCATTATATTTATATGATATGTTTTTGGATTTTATTACGATATATTTTTCTTTCTTTTTTCGTTTCAAGTTGTTTTACTATACATGTCTTTTTTTTCCCATCAATTTAGGTTCTTTTTTTTTTTTTTTTTTTTAAATTTTCAGAGTTGTTTCATTTTGGTCTCTCGAAATTTTAAAATAAAAAAATTAATCTCCTAACCGATGCACTACTCATGGCCTTTTTTTTTCTTTTTCTTTTTCCCATCAATTTATGTTCTTTTTTTAATTTAATTAAGTGTTAAAATTTGGAAAAATCAATTGTTGCTCTTTCTTCCATATAAACTCGATAATTATATAACACTATCCATGTCTCTCGTTTTTTTTTTTCCTTTTTTTTTCATCAATTTATGTTCTTTTTTTTTCATTAGGTGTTAAAACTTTTAAAAATAAATCGTTACTTTTTTTCCCATATAAACTAACAATTATATAATATATATGATATTTTTTATATTTATAAGATATCTTTTTAGATTTTAGAATAAATATAAAGTACTCTTATTGTTTAAAATGGATTTGTTTCTATAAAAATTCTCATCAAGTTAATTTTTATTCTTATTTTTTTATAATTTTATTTATTAATAAATATGACTTATTTTATCTATATATGGATTCGAATAAGTTTTTTTTAATACCTATTTTTATTTTCTTATTTCTTATACAATCAACTTTTAAAAAATTGAATATATGTATTTTATTTTCATATTTTTACATAATAAAATTTTATCGAAATTGGTTTTATAGTTTTTACTGCACTCTATTAACTTCAATACATATTTGACCATTTAATTTTTTAAAATATTTTTTAATTTATTTTATACATTCTCACCTATTGAGTACGATCATTATGTATTAAGAATAATAATGTTAGAGTGATTCATTTTATTAAAAATCAACTATACATCTATACATATAATATCAATTATTTGCTATTATTTTTTTAATATTTACAATAATTTTTTAAATAAAAAATTGAAATAATATTTTAGAATAACCGCATAATAATTCAAAAATAATTTTGTATACTAATATTATTCATTATTTTATAAATAAATAAATATAAATCAAATGTATATATTTAAAAAAATAATCTTCTCATTTGTAGAAAAGTTTCATTGGTTAATTTTCATACAAGTTTTTATACTAATTATTGTTTTGTTTCTTCGATGTAATGTAATAAAAAAAATAGTAAGATGTTTTTTTTAAAATTTTATATTAAAATTTGTTTATTATAGGTTTTATTTAAGAATAAATGCATAAGAAAGAACAAATCATATTTTTTTGACTTCAAAATTTATCTTTTATACTTAATTTAATGTATTTTAATTAACCAATAACATAATATATGTTATCAAACTGAAATAAATATATTTAGTTTGGTCCATAACATTGCGCAAGAATCGAAACTATTCATATGTCTAAAGTTCTTATTCACATACTATTCATACACATAAAATTACTATTCAATTGATGTCAATTTAAGTAATTTTTGTGTGTTTTTGGACATTAATAGGCAAATTTAACACTTTTTATTTATTTTTCATCCCTCATGTTGTAACATTTTTTTTAATCCTTATTTTTTTTCTTTCGTTTTCACGTAGTATGTATGTATGTATATATAAACGCACTATCTTTTTATATTTTAAAATTAACATATACTTCAACTTATAGTACTCTTATTATTTAAATTTCATTATTTGAATTTATCATTCTTTATGAAAATTCTCATCCAATTAATATTTTATATAAGATTTTATTTATAGATAAATATAATTTATTTTTCTCTATATTTGAATTTTAGAATAAAATTTTAAAGAATGATTTTTTTTCTTTTTTAAAAAGTAAATTGATATAATGTATATCATGAATTCTTAGAATTTCTAAATGACAGTTTCACACTTATAAATATATGATTATTTTATTCTAAAAGGTTAAAAATGTGTTTCAAATAATTTATCCGAGTTCACTAGATATGGTCAAGACTTATAAAAAAACTATTGAATCGTTAATTTTATTAAAAAATAGCTATACATCTTCTAACATAAAATAAATTATTTATTATGAATATATATTTTTTAACATTATAGAATCAATTTATTTGAAATAAAATAATTAAAATAAGTTTTTTAAGGGAACCAACCAATTATTCAAATATATTTTTGTATGCTAATTTTGTTGATTTTTTTTTAGAAAAGGAGCGGTACCTTGGAGTATCATAAATGAAACGTGAAAAGGATACAAGAGGGACAAAACTAGCCTAACCCATTAAAATGGGGAGACTAGGTAGCCTAAAAAAAAAAAAAAAAAAAAAAAAAAAAAAAAAAAAACAGGGCATCCTTTAAGCCTTAAGAAGCTAAAACGCATAATGATGTATTGGAAAGAATGAAAAGATAAACAATTATCAAAAAATTA